CCGTGACCAACTACACCGAGGTCTTCATGGCAGTTCGCCTCTCGCTGAAGCTGAGCTGTGAGATGAACTTTTCCAAGTTTCCCTTTGATACGCAAACGTGCTTCATCAATATAACAAGCAGTGAGTTTTTTAAAGATGGCGATAATGATGATGATTTATAAGTGCACTATTGCCAAAATTGCTAACACACAAACTCTCTCTTTCTCTCTTTTTCCCTTTTCATCGCTAATGAGCACAGCCACTGAGGACAACAGCACTGTGGTGCTAGAGTGGAAGATGTTCCGCGTCGGCAGCCACGTTGATGTCACCGAATTTTCCGTCGTCTCCTTCCGCCACGCCGAGTGCACCAAGCGCCTCGACATTGGCTACTTTTCCTGCCTCTACGGGGAAATTGTTTTTAAGCGGAATGTGGGCAATTATTTGATCAAGCGATTCGTTCCCTCGTTCATCATCGTGGGAATGTCAATGATAGGCTTCTGGATTCCTACGCAGGTCGGTGCAAAACTTTTTCTTTAAAACGACATTGCTGTAATTCGTAAATTCAACGATCTAGGTCTCGCCCACGCGCACTATTCTTCCAATCACTGCACTGCTGGCGTTGATCACCCAGCAGATTCAGTCCAACCTGAACGTCTCCTACGTGTACGCACTCCAAGGTAAACCATTCAACATTTTTTACTGCTGAAAACTTTCAACTCACTAAATCATTTTGCCACTTTTAAGTTTGGAATATAACGTGCTGCATTTTTGTCTTTGCGAATCTTCTCGAATATGCAATTGCACTGTGAGTCAATCATGTCACCGCATTCCAGTAATTAGCACATATGTTTTATTGCCCTCTATCCCTGCACAGATACGTCATGCACATGGCACAGAAGCGAAAAGCAGTCAAGTCAGCGGTGAACGATGCCCACCCGGGCAATCAGTCGATGACACTCTGGAGGAGAGTTTGCCGCCACTTTCGCACTACCAGTCGCAGCAGCTCCGTTGACCTGGTGTCTCGGTGGCTGTTCCCTCTCACCTATGGACTTTTCATTTTCTTCTTCATTGTCTACTGTGTCCGCGAGTGAAGTGGGGTGTTGGGTTTACAGTTTTGCGTTGATCATCACTGTACATACTGATCATCACATTTTTTTGTAAACCACAAATTTAAAAGTAGTTTGATGTTACAGAAAATTAACAGGGTGTTTAGAAATATTCTTTGCCATTTTATTCTAGTTTCACTCACAGGGTTTTTCTTTCAAAGTTGAAAATAGTAATAAATGAAAACAAAAAATTCAAACTTTTTTGGCGGGTAGTTTAGCTTGTCGTCATCATTCTGCAGAACAATCGAACAAACGCCGAAAACACTGCACAGCTGTTTTATAAATCCACGTCGTCGAGTCATAAGCTCAAGTTCAAAGGGCATCTTTCTTAAGCGCTCTTGCTTACTGATATTTTCACTATCGCCCAAACTGGTTTTTAAATCTTTGTGGACGTTCAAGCACATCATTACTTTTTCGCTTCATCATCTCTTTTTAAATTTCGACTATTCTATTTCATAGTTTGCGTTTTTCACAAAGCACCCACATGGAGACATCAACACTCGCCGACTGGCTCAGTCTACTCGAAGCTGAGGATTTTATTGAGTCTGCAATTGAAAACAGCGACCAACAAGTGGAGCTCTACAGTGCCTTCTTCAAGAGGGACAAAGAAGAACTGGACTTCTTCAGTCGACTCGGCACCTCTCCGTACAGTCTCAAGCAGATGTCCGCTGACTTTTTTCGCCACGTGCCAGCGTTCCTCTCTTTTGATGTACCAGCAGCTAGGGCCACCAGCCTGAGGGCAGATCACCCATCAGCCACCCATCAGCCACTGTCTATGGATGCCATTGACAGGCAGAGCTACCAAATCTGTGCCCGGGTGCACCAGCTTCGAGCTAAGAAGGAGAAGGACTGTCTCCCCACGGAACGTGATGTCCACCGATACGTGCATGGCCAGTTTGCTCGCCATCTACTGCCCATTCACTGGCTTCCGGAGTTTTGCGCCACTCACCTGGGCTACAGCTCACCCGAGGAGATGCGCCCGCTAGTGGCCGATGCTGTCGCCGGTCTGCTTGCCGATTCACTGCATACTATTCGACAGGCAATTGAAGGAAAGCGGCTGTTCCTATACCTGAATGTTGCTCAGGAGGATTACAACCGCCCCGAGGGTGTCCACCACCGCCGAATGGACGTATTTGTGGGAGTGCTGGACGACACTGAGCACAAGCCGCCGAGGCACTACCTCCTGAAGAGTGTCGTCCTTCCAAAGAATGATGACGACGACAACGTCATTTCTCCGGGCTCGAGTCACCTCAGCTGTGAGCAGTTGATGTTGGCCGTCCTTCTTGAATCACTGGTAATGATGTCCCGCCCATTTGCCAATTCTCACTGTCACACACTGTAAACCTTTGTCCACTAGAACCTACTATGGCCGGACTCCTCCTGGCGCACTGAAGCCAAACCTGTTGACCTCCTTCTCACTGACATTGACCTGGCTGCTGCTGCTGCCGGCACTGGTTGCTGCCTGTCCTTCAGTCTGCCATTCATCGGANGCCGGACTCCTCCTGGCGCACTGAAGCCAAACCTGTTGACCTCCTTCTCACTGACATTGACCTGGCTGCTGCTGCTGCTGCTGCTGCTGCCGGCACTGGTTGCTGCCTGTCCTTCAGTCTGCCAGTCAGCGGCCAGAGGCTGCTCGCCCAGCTGTGCCGCCTCTCGCCGCTGACCTTTGCCGGCACTGTGCACCTCTGTCAGCTGGAGCACCTTCTCCGAGCAGTGGGCAGAGAGCTGAACGTCTGGTTGAAGGGGGACGCCTGTCGAACGTACCACTTCATTGGCTCCTTCATCGGCTGCATTGCCCACAGTGAGCCACCCTCCTTTGGGCGCTTCTTTCTCCGCCGCTGCATTGACTTCTTCACGGCGATCAAGAGTAGCTGGTCATACCAGGAGCTGGTGTTGCACCTTCGAGCGAACTTTACGCTGATTCAGCAGACGCTGTGCGCCTTTCGCACCAGCTTTCCCAGCCACAACCTCTGGAGCACAGTGGCCGAACTGTCTGATGTGCACTTCTTTGAGGAGTTCAACACGGTGGCCATTGTGGCACACCTCTCGCTGCTCATCCACAAATACACCGGCGACCTGTCTTTGGCCTGTTTCCAGCGAGAGGCACTACTCACTGAGATTATGGCCCTCTTGAAGACGTTGACAAAGAACAGTGCCCAGGTGCGTCGTTGGGCTGCCTCTTCTGCGGCAGTTGGCACCTTTCTGCTTGTCGCCAACAACTACGAGGCTTTGCTGGAAAGCCGAACACCGTTGTACGACCATTTGAAGGCGACCGTGCTGGGTGGTGCCATCAGTCGACAGAACTCCTATCCACTGACCTGTGAACTGATGCGACAGTTTGAGGTGAAGTCACCAGCTGAAGACATCTTCACGGTGATTTACGCCCTCCACGAGGCAGCTCAATCGGCCAAGGTGAAACGCAAGCGAGCACAAATTGAGGGCAATGTCCGCTACCGTGATTACTACTATGGGGACTCCTCAGAGGGCGTAGAATTGATGAGCAATCATCAGCAGAAGAAACCAGTGGCCGCTATTGAGTATCGGCCATAGTGTTTGGAATTATTTTTTCCTCTCCTCCTCTTCCTCCTCTTCTTCTTTTACTCCCCTTATAAACTCGTGCATTTAATTATTGATTTTACATCCTTTTTTTCCAATCCCAACACTTTGTTGCCACTGCAAGTTAAGGCGGCGCAAATTCTACTCCCACGTCATAACTTTATTCGCCATCAACACACTACGCCCTTGTATTATTCTTCCCTCTTCTTTTTTCCCTGCAAGCATGTGCGCCACCGCCGAAGCTGTGGCCAAGTTTGACGCCCTACTGTCGGACATTGCCCGGCAGAACAATCCTCGTGAGCACAAGCGCCTCAAGTTCGTCAACTGCAACCTCCTCGAGTGGGAGCTGGTGGAGCAGAAGCTGCAGCTGGTCCTCTCTCAGCAGCTCGGGCCGCAGCAGAAGGAGCAACTGGCGGAGCGGCTGGAGAGCGCCATGGGCGAGTGTCGCGTCGTCGAGTGCCTCCTTGCGCTGATCGCCCACGCCGAGGAGCACATTGACCAGCACGAGGCGCTGCTCAAGTCGGTCATTGAGATGATGCACGAGGTGGCCACCCTCCCGGAGGACGCTGACCTGCTGCGAGAGGTCGTCACCAAGTGCAGTCTCATGGTCTACGACGCATTCGGCGGCCTGTGCACGCTGAAGCGCACCATCAGCTCGATCAGCCTCGCCTACCAGGTGCCCTACTACTACGACCTGGGCGAGGACGCGGGCGCCATTCGCATTCGCTCCAGTCTCCTCTCCACCTACAAGAACCTCAACACCATCATCGACGACCTGTCCGCGCTCAGCGAGACGCTCTGGATCATCCGCAACTACGACCTCCTCGGCGTTTGATGGGCGTGTCAGTGCCTGTGATGGTTCTTGTAGCGATGGTTGTCCACACAAACACACACACACACACACTTCCACCTGTACAGGAAACTAGCACACACATTTTGTAATTCCACGTACACGAGTATTTTTAGTTTGTAAAAATTCAAATGACACAATGTTTGGTGCAGCTTTCTGGCTGGGCTGTATAAAATAACTCAAGTGTAACTTGACCATTTCTCTTATCACTAGCCCATCGTGGCAGTGTGTTCAGGACAAGCTGCTCTTTCCCGCCTCACCATTCAACTTTTCGCTGAGAGCGGCAGAGCGGCAGCACATTGCTCCTGCCTCGATCCGATTGCGTCTCTTTGTTTAGTCTGCACAGTTTCTCTCTCATACACTCTTGCTGAGAGAACGACCGAGAGAGAAGAGAAAGAGCGAAAGAGTCTGTCTGCCTCGCTCACTCGCTCAAACACGCAGTTTGAGACTCGCTCGCCGCTCGCACCCAAAACACACTGCACTTTGTTGCCACTTGAGAGGCTCCAGAAATGAGCACCCAGAAGAAGACCCACAGCCCCACTGAGAATGGTAAGTGATGGTCAGTGCTGAAGTGATATCGTCTTCCGAAACTTACTAACTTCCACCGATCCAACAACACAGGCAGTCCCTCAAAGAAGCAACGCTCCTCGGCAGTAGCGGATGAGCACTGCCCGAGTGCTGCAACTGCAGTTGCCGTTGGCTCCGGTGCGGGTGAGCAGACGCCGCCGTGGGCGCCGACCACCGTCTCCACCATCGACATGTGCTACTACTGCTTTGACGTGCTGTACGCTCGTCTACACAATCAGCCCCTACCTAGTGCGCCCAGCTTTACCAACGAACCATTGTAAGTGATTCGCTGTCCCAGTCTGTGTATCCTCAGTACCTTACCTCTGTCTCTCACCTCTTCTAGCGCTGCCTTTGTTACCTGGAAATCGGGCAGCAGACTGCGCGGATGCATTGGTAACTTCAAGCCATTTCCACTTCACGATATTCTCAGACGCTTGACCTGGTCGAGGTTAGTCTTTTGGCGTTCACGAAGCACCTTGTACCAAGCACTTACCAGTTTTTCTCTCTTTTGCAGTGCCAACGACAGCCGCTTTGCTCCCATAGCAAAAGAAGAGCTTGACAAGTTGACCGTTTCCATTTCGCTGCTAAAGGACTTTGAAGAATGTAGCAGCTGGAAGGACTGGGACGTGGGAGCCCATGGCGTGGAGATGCACTACATTGACGACATTGGCAATCAGTACTCGTCCACTTTTCTGCCAGAGGTTGCAAAGGAACAAAACTGGGATCACAAAACCACTATCTTGGAGCTGCTGCGCAAGGCAGGCTACAAACGAGGTGGGATCAGTGAAGAGCTGTTTTCTAAAATCCGCCTGAAACGTTACAGCAGCGAGAAGATCAGCGCTAGCTTCGAAGCTTACAAGTCCAATGCTAAATCAATGCTATCTATTATCAATTAACTAATTAACCAATTGAATAAATTCCTAGGGATAATTAATAAAATTGATTTTTTCAGTTTCCAAAAAATGTTTTGCTTGTGTTTTAAATTTTTGTCGATAGAGGTCGCAGTGGAATGTCCCACGTGTTTTCACCGCATCGTGGCTGCTCGGTATTTTTGTTGTTTTGTTGATTTCAGTATTTTGCCTGGTTTTTTTATTTGCTCAAAGTGTACTCTCCTACTCGACGACGACGATTTTACAAAGTGAAAATGCCATTTTTTATAAGAAACAAGCATAAAGGAAAGCAGGTATGTTACCGGTGATGTTTGTGTTTCATCCTTACCTAACATTGTGTATTTATTTCAGCCTCTCAAAAAGGCTCCAAAAGGACCAGGTGTGAAAAATGCGAAATTCAATAAGAAGAAGGGTAACATGGACGAGGAAATTCTTAGCGATGAATTCGAAGATGATGATGAGGTGGAGATCGCATCCGATTCAGAGGCTGGCCCGGCGAAAAAGGCCAAGCTCCAAGCAGAAGAGGCAAGTGCCTCGGATGATGACTTTGAAACGCCACAGGAGAAGAAGATTCGCCTCGCAAAGCAGTACTTGTCAGTTCTGGAAAACCGAGAACGTGATCGAGAAGGGCGAGCTGATGGAGAAGAGGGCGAGGAGGAGGATCCTGACGTGGCCGTCCACAGGTCGAACATGATCTCGGCTCATCTAAAAGACAGTGTTCTCGAGAAGGCGGGCAAGTTACATCGTCAAGTGGCTGACAGGTACTCGCTCGGTCCCTGGGCAGATGTGGTCACGCTGAAGAACGGTCACCGGAAAACGATAACCGCCTGCGTAGTGTCCACCGACGGCAAGCACGTCTTCACCGCCTCACAGGACTGCTCCATCATCAAGTGGGACCGAGCTACGGGAAAGCGAATTACCTCCATATTCGGCAATCACAAACACAAAAACCCTGAGCAGTTTAAAGGCCATGCGGGCACCATTAACGCTTTGGCCATCTCAACGGACGGAAAGTTTCTGGCATCAGGAGACGTCAACAAGTTGATTCACATCTGGAATCCCAAAGATATGACTCATGTGCACACCTTCAGAGGCCACCGAGGGGCAGTGACGGGACTCGTCTTTCGCCGGTCCTTCCACCAGCTGTTCAGCTGCTCCGAAGACCGAATGGTGAAGGTGTGGAATCTCGATGAGATGGCCTACGTTGAAAGTCTGTTCGGTCATCATGACACCATCTCCGCCATTGACTCGTTTGTGCGCGAACGAGCCATCACCGCTGGCAGTCGGGACGGAACGATACGCCTGTGGAAGATTCCCGAAGAGTCCAACTTGATCTTCCTGGCGGGCGCCAATGCCACAATTGACTGTGTTAAGTTCATCGACGAGACGCACTTTATCTCAGGTGACGATGACGGGTAAGTTCCGATTTGGTTTTGAGAAACGCCTAATCTTAACACCGTTTTTTATTCGTTGCAGAACGGTCTCATTGTGGGCACTCTTCAAGAAGAAGCCGCTTGCCAAGGTGCTCAGTGCCCACGATTCAGGCAAATGGATCACCGCTATAGCATCTCTACGCAACACCGACCTCTTTGCCACTGGTATGTTGACTGGTAATGTGCTAACCTACCATAAGTATCACTTATTCTAATAACGATCACTTTCATTTTCTAGCTTCACACAATGGCAAAATTTACTTTTGGAAGATTGGCAATGAGTTTCGAAATGTTACCAAAATCTTTGAATACGATGTGGTAAGTACTGTGAAGTGTAATGTCTGATTTGTATATTAATTGGCTGTTGCAGGTGGGGTTCGTAAATTCACTCGAGTTTACCAGTGATGGCAAGTACCTGATTGCGGCGGTCAGCCAAGAGCACCGGCTTGGTCGGTGGTGGAGAATTAAAGAGGCGAAGAATTGTGTTCATGTGATTCCACTGAATAGCGACGTCGAGTTGGACTTTTAGCTTTGCCCTGTTCACCCAGCTTGTTTGTCACTGGTCATCCTTTTCCCTCAAATATTCTCTTCATTTTTTTCCATTTCTTTCTTCTTGTAAGTAATCTCGCCTCAAAGATCACTCTGTAATTATTATTCAAAGAACTTGTATTTTTACTAAGAAACGATGAATATAAATGGTTAACGAAATTGTAACTTTGACAGAAAAACGAGGAGGACTGTTTTATGTGCACACTCGGAATCAGGTTCTGTCGATGAATGGGACTCACTTATTAGCAAATCACTTTGCAGCCAAGTTTGTGGCATCAGTGACACCGACTGGAGACCTTTGTTTACACAGATGCCCGTTCAACAGCAGTGCAGTGTTGAGGCTTTCAACATTTTACTGCCTCGCAACAGCCATCTTTAGTCTATGTCAATGACCATCCAAATGACCACCCTCTTCTGCACAGTAATCGACTGACCTGGGCACAGTTTGCAGCTCTTCTCGTCTCTTGGCAGTTGTAGTTGTTGTTGTTGTTGTTGCTGTTACTTTACGCTTGCACAGTCTGCCCTGGTCACTCTGAGGACTATCACTTCCAGTGCTAATTAATTACACTTTTTTGCGCATCTTTCGCTCCCTTTCGCTTGCCTGTCTACCTTGCCAACTCATCGTCAGCTCTTTCGGACAGTGCAAGTCGTCAACCGGGACAGCATCTGAGCATCTTTTCTTTTCTTGCTCCTTCTCTTTCATTTCTCTTTCGTTGATGGCCTGTGCTGATTAGCAATTTCTGCTCTTCCAAGCCAAGATTGGCTGCCTTCCAACCACCCTCTATATATAATTGCTAATTTATTATGAACTCTCCTCATTGACAGTGACATTTGAATTTTGTAAGATCAAGGAGCCACTGCTGCAACACAATGTTTAATTTGTTTGTGTGTCTCTGTGCTTGGTTTAATTAAATTATCACACTCTTTCAAGCGGTTAAAGTTGTCAACTTTCAGGTTTCTTTGTAAACAGATGATGCTTTCCAGATTAAGTCCCTTGTTTATTCTCAGTGTTTCCGCTGTGTTATCAGCTAATAAACATATCATCGTCAATTAATAATGGACTGAATATATCATCTTCTAAACAATTCATTCTCTTCCCTTCAAAGGGTCGCATTCTCGGAATAAATAAAGATTAGAGAAAGTGCACACATAACACAGTAATAAATATGATGAACAGTCTGAAAAGTTTTCAGTGAAAGCAAAGACATGGTGAATAAGCTGTGTCAACTATTCGGCCACTTTTGAGCGGGAATGTCCCAGACCCTCTAGTGCAGCGGGAAGATAATGTTATTCTATAGAACTCATCATATCGAGCATTCTCATCTCCTCCAGTTGTGATTATAAGTTTGTGTTGGCAATCAGTGTGACACATGCTTTCCACCCAAGCACTTTGACACTTTGTGACCACCAGTTCACCCAGCGGCACAATGTCAATCAAGTGGTCGCATTGCTTGAAAAAAACAGTACTCAAATTAACTTCAGTGACTGAGGTCATTCAGAGCACAAACAAGAAGTGACTGAGATATATTGCTTGTTGACTATAAGCGGATTGGCAGCAGTAAGCAGTAGTGAACGGTGGCAAATAAAAAGTAAAAAGTGACCTTTTCACTTAGTTGAAATTACGCCAATGAGGAAACTGATTTTCTCCTTGTTATTTCCACTTTGACTAACGTCTGTGACCTTTTCAGTATCAATTCTCGGAATTCTCTTTTCTCTCATTTAACTTTGCATTTATATGAGAAAAGGGTGATATGTTCAGCAGGTGCTGATACCATTTAGATTGCCACTTGTTGAGCTGCTGTCATTGCTGCGGAGAATTAATTTAACTGAAAGCATTTTGGTAGTAAAAAACAACAAATGCGTGGGGGAGGGGGCGATGCTGGTAATTGGTCTGATGCCGACAAAGCTTTGACATTGAGAATTGAAGAGGAAGGAAAGGGGGAAAAAGCATGCCATTTGATTGGTAATTGGCAGGCACTCAGTCAGCACTCTCCCCACATCAATGGCAGGCGCATTGACATGCAAAGCTCCTGTCCAGAGGGACAGCGGTGCAGTGAAGGGGGCGCCCGTTAGGCGAGCTATGAAGAAGACATTGACTGTGAATTCACCCTCCACTTCCACTCAGGGTTTGACTGATAAGGGGCACTGCAGCAGCAGCAGCAGAAGCAGAAGACGACTACTCCTCGTACTGGAGCTCACACTTCTTGCGCACTTCTACCACCGCTCGTGATTTGTTTTCCCATTAATACGCAATTCATCATCACCAGCTTCAGCAGACTTTTCCCTCGACTCATTTCGATTGCCATTAATAATGGCCACGCAAATGTAATGCAAAGCAAGCACAATGGGCAATTTCATTGCACCTTCCCTGTTTGTGATGCTACATCGCTGATTACTAACCGTATTTGTATTGTTTTTCTCACACAGGTCATAATTTACTGTTAAGTAGCCTTTCACCTTACGCCCATCACCGTCATCACCATCACCGGTTCTGTAAACCTACAAGTTATTATTAACACATTGACGCTCTTTCAACTTGAATAATCACACCACTAATGAAACTAAGCCACCTGCTCTTATGAAGCTACAAAAGAGTGGTAGATGATTCTAATCACGATGTTCAATAACCTATAAAGTTCTTAGGAAGACCCGGGTAAATGCAAATGAGAGAAGAGGTACACAGACACAGACACAGTTCATTGAACTATTCGAGATCACAGAGTGAGCTGTGTCATTTAGAGAGTGAAAAGTAACTCACTAGACTGGAGCTGATCAGATATTCGCTAGCATCACCGCAAGGCATGTGTGGCACTGCTGTGATAGTCAGCCAATCAAGTCTGCCACACTTTTGGCGGCAACATTCGCCGATCAATGGGTATCGCCATCAACTTTACTTTCAGTGGTTTATTTCAGCGGTTCCAAATGGCCAAAGGGGAAAACTGCCTGCTGAGTAAGTTGCTTAACAAATGCTAATGCTGTACAAAATGCTTATCATTCTCTGTCGTCAGCAGAGGCTTAGAGAAT